AAAAGTATATTCTTCATGCTATTGGAAATGTTTTGTGGAAGTGTGGTGTTTCCATTCCTTTAGCGCAAATAAATTGTTTGGTTTCACTTTAAAGTGGGGAAAAAAAACACAATCCATGTGGGAGATTACATGTGGTGGTTGTGTAATCCCTTGTGACACCACAACTATGGGATCGTGGACCCAGCGCCCAGACAGACCCTCCCCATGAGGCTGAGCCCTTCTTGATCCACAGATGAGGAAATGAGGGGCCCTGGAGAGAACACAAGACTAGTTCAAGATCACACAGTCAGTCTATGGCAGGGTTACACAGTTTTCTTACAGAAGTGAGAGTTTAACCACAAAAAGCTTTTTAGAAACTTGTCCTCACCTGCCTTGCTAGGTTATCTTTTAACTGTGACTTAAGCCTTCCTTGTGCAGCTCAGAGATCATCTTTGGAACCTTCCAGAACCCCCTGAGTTGGGCCAAGGGTTCTTCCTCCTATGCCCCTTATTGCCTCTCTTCTGTAGCTCTTGTTATATTTTGTAGAAGTCGTCTGGTTGTGTTTTTGTGTTTCGATCCTGCATGTACATTCATCTTCATAGTTTGTTCTGTCTCATTCTTCTTTGTACTTTATAGGAATGGAGTAAGGACAAGCTTTAGTAACGCCCCACCCCCCTTCCTATTTGTGTGACAGTTGGATGGCTCCCCGGAATGCTGTGTGTTAATTACTAAAATTATTATGAGTCTGATCAGTGGTATTTTCAGGAGGTTAGAGCTTACTCTAGGTTAGAGCATATAGTCTCTGCAAACCTAAATTATCTGGCAGTTGAAGGCCGTTTTGAGTCAGATTGACACTATTGGACAGACTTGGGCAGGGTGGGGGTGGCCTGAACTGTGGATGTCAGTGTGATGACCAGCCGGAGATAAGCGAGGACACTTTGTTCTTCTAGCGGCTACAGTATTACGGGAATGAGAATGGGATAACCTTTAGGAACCCTGAACTGCACCCCTGGACAAATAGCAACTATTAGCATTGGCAGGAACCTGAAGCCTTCGTGTTACTGAGAGTCCCAAGTTTGATATGTTTTTTTACATTTAGTTTTCCTATTAAAAATACATACATCAAACAAATGTAGAGAATCATATTTTGAACATCTGTGGACCCACCAATCCGCTTTATTAGACCTTAACTTTTCTTAAACAGAACCTAAGTTTATGTATTTTCAATTTACTTTGTGTTTTTATTAAAAATTTTTATTAAAGTTTGATTCACAATGTTGTGTTAGCTTCAGGTATATAGCAGAGTGATTCGGTTATACACATATATGTGTATGTGTATGTGTGTGTGTGTGTATATATATACATACATATGGGCTTCCCCAGTGTCAGCAGTAAAGAATCCACCTGCCAATTCAGGAGACGAAGGTTCGATCCCTATGTCTGGAAGATCTCCTGGAAAAGGAAATGGCAGCCCACTCCAGTATTCTTGCCTGGGAAATCCCGTGGCCAGAAGAGCCTGGCAGGCTACAATCCATGGGGTCACAGAGTCAGACCCAGCTTAGTGAATAAACAACAACTATTTTTATATATTCTTTTCCAGATTCTTTTCCGTTACAGGTTTTTGCAAGATATTAAATTTAATTTCTTAACTATAACATTTTGGTATTTTGTATTCTTTTCCTTCCCTATCCAGAGGTCACTATTATGAATTTGGCATTTGTTACTCAGAGATTCTAAAGTTGACTCTTTGGGGCCTCCCCCCTAAGGCAAGGGCTCTGTGTGATGGAACAGGAGCTGTGTCTTGTGGCAATAAAACCATAGTTTTGGAGCCATGGTGAGACTCATAAAGATTTGAAATGTGGCAGTGAAATCAGACTGCAGAGCCAGGGTTCCCAAATCCTAGATTCTTGACTAGTTGGAATTTCCCCAGGGGACGAGAATGGACGGTGGACCCTGAAAGTCACTCATCAGGGTAAAGCTCAGACAGACATGGCTTGAGGAAATGTATCATTTAGGAGTAATGCTTTTCAAACATTTTTCAACTGTAACCCACAATAACAAATTTTGCAAAGTGACTCTCGATACTTGCGCGTGTGTACACACACGCACACAGAACACATACCTCCAAATGAAGCATTTATATGAAATAATACCTATTCTTTCTTTGTTAGCTGCACTGCAATAGGGTCTGTTTTGTTTTTACAAAGGCAGTTTGTCCCAATAAATTGATTTCCCAGGCCATTAATAGATCGGAGCAGTTAAAACAACAGCAGCAAACCCGGGTTTGCAGAACTGTGATTTGTTTCCTGGAGCAAAAGTTTTTTTAAAGGGTCTTTTAGTTTAACTCTACTGAACATCTTTATAAGTAGCTGTTTTCTACTGATGGCCTAAGCTTCAAGATTTATGCCACGATTTACTAATAAAAAATTCTATGTAAAACTAAGCAGAATTCAGAGCTCTTTTGAGGTTCAGGTTATTCTGTGTCATGTTGCTTCTCCTCCTCAGGGCCCTTCATCCTCTTCAACCATTGCTTTAAGGCAGCCTGTCTCAATTAAGTAAACAGAGCTCGAACACAGTGACTTAACTATACTTTATAAATTCATGATTGTTAAGCCACAAAATCAACCTTTCCAAATAAAACTGAGTGTAAGTCAAACTGCCAGGAGAAAAAGAACAGCTATGGAGTCTTTAACTCTCCTTTCACCCTAGTTTACCCTCTGTCTGTATACAGGGCTAACTAAAGTCTACACAAGGAATAAAGTGATGTATGTACGTGTTGCTTCATGTTTATTGAATGTCACCCATTTTTGTGTAACCAGACTGTCATCCTCTTCACAGAGCTTTGTTATTGTTGTTTAGTTGCTAAGTCATGTCCTACTTTTTTGAGACCCCATGGACAATAGCTCGCCAGGCTCTTCCGTCCATGAGATTTCAAGAACACTGGAGCAGGTTGCCATTTCCTTCTCCAAGGGATCTTCCCGACCCAGGGATTGAACCCATGTCTCCTGCATTGGCAGGCGGGTTCTTTACCGTCTGAGCCACCAATAACCGCTCTTCACAGAGCTGCCTGATGATCATCATAAGAGCAAGTGTTGTGACAGCACCTCTGTCCAAAGATGTGTATGTAATTGAACCCAGAAAGGTGCAACTCCAGGGAGGCAAAGGGGAAAATTACGTCTCATGCATATTAAACACACAGTTGTTGGAGATGATGAACTAGATTGATTCCAAGATGCTAAAATGAGTCAGCTTTCTCCAAAATCCTACCAGCAACCACTTTACAAGGGAAACAAGGGAGCTGGTTTCTAAAACCTGGAAGAAGCAGAGAGTTTTGTTTAAGCCAGCTAATTTTTCACAGGAGAGGAAATACAGAGCTACCTCAGGAAATTTAAATGGGACTGTTGAATAACTGGGGAGGAATGTCTCCTTGGGATGAGAAGGCAAAGAAAAGTTCAGCTGATTTTCAGGGAGAATAACAAAAGTGACAGTGTGCATGTTGTGTGTGTGACTGTGTGTAACTTCTAGAACGTTCGGGTCTTATGACCCCTTTCTACTTCTAAGAATTATTGAGAACTCCAAAGAACCTTTGTTGATGTTGCTCATTTTTTTTTTTTTCACCATTTTAGGAATTAAGACTGAAAAGCTTAGAACGTTTACTGACTTATTAAAGACAATGATAAACTCATTATATATTATTAGTAACATAAACATTTTTTTATTTTTTTAAAAATCAGTTTTTACCCCCCAATAGTGAAGAATGCTACTGTTTTGTATTTTTGCAAGTCTCCTTAATGCTTGGTTGACTATGACACTTGGATTCTCATAACTGCTCCTGCAAACAATCTGTTGTGATCTGTTGTTTGGGTTGAAATACATGGGGGAAAGTTTAGTGCACCCAGATGTGTTAGTTGGAAAAGAGAGAGTCTCACAGTCCCCTGAGGGGGACTCTGGAACTCCCAGGGGTCCTTGGGTCACATTTTGAGAACCACCATCCTATAAAGTAGTTTGGAAGCATAAACGAGTGATAAGATTACTGTGTTAATCCCTCCGTTCTGTCCAACTCTTTGCGACCCGGTGGACTATCCGCCAGGCTCCTCTATCCATGGATTAGAATTGGAAGAGAGGAGCTCCTTCAGAGGTGTTGCAGTGATCAAGGGGAGAGGTCAGGCGGGGTGGGGCTTAGATGTTGGCAGAAATGGAGAGAAAGCTCCCAAACTTGAAAGACATTTTGAACGCAGAATTACCAAGACTTGGAATAGGGCATAAAAGAGAAGGAAGGGTCAAGATGACTAATAAGAGTTTTCTTTTTTTTTTTTGGTGTCTGCCTGTATTATTTTTAATTAATTAATTTCTGGCTGTCCTGGGTCTTTGTTGCTGCACACGGGCCTTCTTAATTGCATCAAGCCCGAGCTACTCTGCTTGTGGCGTGCAGGCTTCCTCGCTGCGAAGGCTTCTCTTGCCGTGGAGCATGCGTTCGTGGGCACTCGGGCTTCAGTAGTTGCGGTTCACGGGCTCTGTCGCTGTGGCTCTCGGGCTCTGTTGTGTGGGCTCAGTAGCTGTGGCGCACAGGCTTATTTGCCCCATGGCATGTACGATCTTCCCAGAGCAGGGATTGAACCCACGTCTCCTGCATTGACAGGTCTATTCTTAATCACCGGACCACCAGAGAAATCCTAAGTGTTTTCAAGTATAGAACATCTGAAAAATATTTGCTCCCTTACACCCAACCTTTGCCCTTTTCTGAAAATTACCCCAATGAAGTTCACTGAAGTCTTATTTTTTTTTTCCTCCCCCCAGAGTTGTCCTGCCCACCCCAGGGCTTTGGAGAAAGTCGACCGCTTCCCAGCCTGCACTGGTCACAGTCACTTCCAGAAGAAAGGAAGACCTATGACGTCCCTGGGGACTTGGGACCTATGACCTCCCAAGGGGCGCCCTTGCTCACTTCGCTCGGACCCTGCAGGCAGTGAAGGGCTGTGGGTCCAGCTCCTGTGTGCACCGGGCGCCGGCAGTCCCCGCCTCTTATGCACTCCAGCACCCCCATCAGCTCCCTCTTCTCCTTCACCAGCCCGGCAGTGAAGAGACTGCTCGGCTGGAAGCAAGGAGATGAAGAGGAAAAGTGGGCGGAGAAGGCGGTGGACTCTTTAGTGAAGAAGTTAAAGAAGAAGAAAGGAGCCATGGACGAGCTGGAGAGGGCGCTCAGCTGCCCGGGGCAGCCCAGCAAGTGCGTGACCATCCCCCGCTCCCTGGACGGGCGGCTGCAGGTGTCCCACCGCAAGGGGCTGCCCCACGTCATCTACTGCCGCGTGTGGCGCTGGCCGGACCTGCAGTCTCACCACGAGCTGAAGCCGTTGGAGTGCTGCGAGTTCCCATTCGGCTCCAAGCAGAAGGAGGTGTGCATCAACCCCTACCACTACCGCCGCGTGGAGACGCCAGGTGGGTTCCCTCCGTGGTTTAACTGGGACAGGCAAGAGGGCGCGTCCGGTCAGTGGGGAACCAGGGGCCACGGCGGGGGAAGGAAGCCCCTCCCACCGCTGCAAGAGAGACAGAGGGAGGGTCAGTTTGGAGAAGCCGATCCGAAATTTTGTAGGCGGAATAACCTAGACAGAAGATCTTTCATTTCAGCATAGATGTAAGTTTTGTGTGATTTTGGAAAATGCCGTTTTATTTTGATGTATTTTCGAGTCATCGTCCAGTTCTTGAAAGGTCTGAATATGGTCTTGACATGATAAACAGTTAAAAAAAAAATCTTTCTCTCCAACTCCTCCCCTTGAACTCAGCTGTACTGAACTAAACCAGCCGCACTCTCCCCATGCTGAAGTAAGCAGAAGTGTCTTCTAAACTAAGCAGATGATGGAAGAGTTGCTGGAAGTCCTTCCAAGACTGAAAACAATGGCAGTGAGGGGAGATTGGCAGCTCTTCTTAAATATGACTTTAAACATAGGAAAGTATTAATCCTAAAACGCTACACACACGTGTGTGTGTGTAAGTCCGGTGTTCATCTTTGTTCCTTCACATTGGTGTAACAGCTTGACTGCTTTTCTCTTTGAGTGGAGTGTTCCTGCAGCTACAGGGATGCAGCTTCTGCGGGAGCTTCCTCTCCCCATCCCTGGAGGGGCCTGCCCGTGCGCTCTGGGAAGCAGCCCATGTCCATTAGGAGGCGGTTCGGCCTAGGAACGCAGGTGGTGGGGGAGTCCGGCCTGCCACCTGGCTCCCTCCCAGATCCAGGTAACCTTGTAGCCATCCCTGCTAAGTCCTGCCCAGCCCAGAACAATCTTAGTGAGGTGACCTTTCAGGCTCCTGAATCTTGCCATCATGCTGTTAAACTGGTGTCAAGGATGTCACCTGCCTGATCGTGGGCGCTTCTCACAGCCACGTCACTCAGGATGCAGGATGAGACCGTGATGAGAAAGGCCCACTTGCCTGGTGAATCCATTGTGCTTTTCCCTGGGTCATACACCTCTTTGCTTTCTTCTCTTTCTTGCTTCTCTCTGGGCTTTCTTCATCTACTTTAAAAACATGTCATGAAGGAGTTTATGGCAGAAACGACTTGATTCTTTTTTGTTTCTAAGATTTGAGTTATAGTAAGCATTCAGAATACACCCCATGAAAAATGTTCATCAGGGAATCATTTTCCTCTTCCTCAGTAATGCAGTTATTAGATGTGTTTGTAAGATGTATCAGGCATTTCTTTTGAACACTCGAAACCCCGATTTTAAAGGATTATTTGATGTTTTCATTTTTCATATTATGTGAGGTTCTTTCAGGAATAATAGTATGAATGTTTTTACATATGGCAGGTTTCATATCTTGGTAGTTTAGGTTTGAGTTTCCAAGATGAAAGATAGCTAAATATGGTATTAATTTTAAGGTGATGTTTAAGCTGTCTTTTTTTATTCCTAAATTTGACTTTTTCAATAAAAAGGCAAATTTTATATCTAGCTTTCTGGCCAAGCTTAAAGTCAATATTTTGAAAACAATGAAAGATGCTAATGTTCAGCAAGTTTGCTGGGTCCCTAATTATCATAAAACTGAAGTTTTGCCTTTGAAATCTCTCATCTTTTGACCACCCATGCTTGGATCCTTGAAGGCTGCATTCTAGATTATTTTTTTCCTTCTCATAACCTACTAAAATAATCTATTTTAGTGCTTTTCAAACTATCTGCAATGAAGCACCAGTTTTTAAAAAGCTTCCAATCCATCAAATATCAATATTTTTACAATACAAATAAATTACTGGGCAGATGAAATTTTTAAAAGACTTAAAAATGCAAGCTTGATTTTAAAAAATACAACCTCAGGTTTTTTTCTTACTATTCATTTCAACAGATATAAAATTACTCTGTCAAGTGGCTATTAAGTTTCTAAACACAAACTTCCAGTTTGAATACTTGTATCTGTGTGAACTGGCACCCAACAGCTGGTAAAATCTCACCAGTCCTCAGACCTTACTCTGTGTGGCTTGTGTCTGGTAGAAGCGGTGCGAAAATGTTTTTGGGGCTCATAATGATTTTTCTTCATGCATCGGAGGTGATTTCAGTATAATTTCTCCTCTGTGTTAAATTCCCACACTTTATCCAAACCACATGACTTTTGAAAAAGATACAAAAGCTTTTTTCAGCTTTGCTCTGCAGTCCCTTATAGACAGTTAACTCCTTCCATTATCTGCCCCCAGGTCATGCTTAGATAGTGTGGTATTTAAAAGGTAGCATCGTGTTGAGGGGCTTCCCAGGTGGTTCAGTGGGAAAGAATCCACCTGCTGGTGGAGGAGATGCCAGAGACTCAGGTTCGATCCCTAGGTTGAGAAGATCCTCTGGAGGAGGAAATGGTGACCCACTCCAGTATTCTTGTCTGGGACATCCCATAAACGGAGGAGCCTGGCGGGCTACAGTCCATGGGGTCACAAGGAATCAGATGCGACTGAACACACGTTGAGACCAATGTCTGTAAGCTCACTAGGTCTTATTTGCAAGCAGCAGTTGTCACACAGAAATAGAACTGAGTTGATTAAGAATAGGTATTGCTTTAGATTGAATGTCTGTGTGCCCCCAAATTCATACATTGAGAGCCTCATGCCCAAGATGATATAGTATTAAGAGGCAGTGCCTTTAGATGGCTAGATCATGAAGCCAGACCCCCATGAGTGAGATTAGTGTCCTTATAAAGGGGTCCCCAGAGAGACCCCTTGTCCCTTCCTGCATGAGGACACAGTGAGAAGGCAGCCTACAGCCCAGAGGGGCCTCTGCCCAGAACCTGACCAGGCTGCATCCCCATCGTGGACTGTCCAGCCTCTGGGACTGGGAGAAAGAAATTTCTGTTGTTTATCAGCTTCCCAGTCTGTGGTCTATATGTTCTAGTAGCCCACAGCAGCTAAGACAGCTGTGGTTTGAGTGAAAGTATTTACAAATATGATCAATGCAATCCCAAGGTTAACGGATCTTGTCAGGCTGAATTATAACTCTGATGATACTATCGGTTTTCCTTACAAATCTCCACTGCCTTTAGTTCTACTCAGATGATAGAAATACATTATCAAGATGTTTGTCTCAATAAAGACAAATTCATCTTCTCTTTTGGCCATGGAGGAATGAAGGTCTCTGCATTCAGATATGAGGAATTCTGTTTATCAATGTTAAGGATACCCTGTAGGTATATAAGAACTGAAGTCACAGAGAGTATTCAAATTCTTCCTCCAAAACAGAAAAGTGAGGGTTTATTTGATCATTGTTAACACTGTGCTCAAGAAGCATCATTGAAAAATAAGCCATGTGTCTATTTAGAGTGTCAGCCCCTCACTTTCAGAGTATTCATGAGGCAAGAAATCTTTTTATTCCTCTATATTCATGGAATACATAAAAGGAGATTGGATGGCTTATCATCTTTGTCATTTTTGCATCATGATATTGAGGATTGTTCTATAATGTCATAAGGCAATATATGCAAATACTGGCTTTTAAAGGAGGACAAAATCACTGTTTCTCTGCCACCCTCATTTGTAGTGGTTTAGCTTAAAACTGTTCATCTGCCTCTTGGAGTTTATATTCTACCTGTAGAACTGAAAATTGTTGCTTGTTAAGACAAGATAACTGAAAAAAAAAAAGAAAAGAAGAGATAACTGTATGATAGTGGGTAAATGGTGGAATTTGTGATGGATATTATTGTTGCCATACTGTTCTTATTGTCTGTTTACTCCAAAATATTTACTTTTTATGAAAGTGTTTATAGATACTTGCTTATGATGAGAAATCCATAGAGTGATTTGAAACAACTTGTTTCAGCTACCTCAGCTCTCCAGGAACAATTTCTTTTAATCATTCTTGCTTGGTTCTTCTGCTAGCTCTCTCCATTATTACTAAAAAAATAGATAATTCTAGATAATATATATGCTTATACATCTATTTCCAAATTTATCACTTTTAGCTAATTTCATTGACTCTAACATAAAAGGTGAAGATTTAGTTAATTTATATCACCTTTATCCTTTCTTCCTTTTCTCAATCTATATTTTGGTTTATATTATATTATTATTTAAGTTAATATTATGCTATTTTTTGCTATTAATTTCCAGTGTGGAATTTGGGGGTATGAATTTTTTCCCTTTAGAAGATTATTAGTCCATTGCCTTTTAAAAAATTATTTATTTTATTTTTTGGTTGAACCGGATCTTCGTTGCAGTGCAAGACTTCTTACTGCGGAGGCTTCTCTTGTTGCAGAGCATGGGTTCTAGAGCTGGGACTTCAGTAGCTTTGGCACATGGGCTTAGTTGTTCCACACCATGTGGGATCTAGTTGCTGGCTCAAGGATCGAACCCATGTCCCCTGCGTTGGCAGGCAGATTGTTAACCACTGGACCACCAGAGAAGTCCAGTCTGTTGCCTTTTGCTGTCCAGCATGGATGACGGGAAGTCGTAAATCAGTTTCTCATGTCCTTGTGGCGACTTTGAGGTGCCCCTCTGGGAACCTTTCGGTTTGTCCTTAGATGTTTGAAATTCAAGATGGTGTGACTATGATAGATATTTTTTTCACTCATTGGGCTGTATACTCTGTGGTTGTTTTCAATCTGATGACATAGATCCTTCTTCAGGCTCCGAGACATTTTCCCCTGTTGTTTCTTTCATCACTTCCTCTGTCTGTTTTCCCTGTTTCTCCTTCTGCAACTTAGGTTGGTCCCAGCTCACCCCTCAACAACACTCCATGGGATAACTTCTTTTTGCCAAGCCTGGGGACACTTCAGAAGCCAGTGGGCACTAGCGATGTCTGACCAATGCTTGCTCTTGAGAATTGCATCTGTCCTTGTTTTTGTGTTGAATCAGGAACAAAATCACTCATGTTCTTTTTAAAGTAGGGAACCCAGAGGGAAACATACTAAAATGAACAGATAAGCTCTCTATTACTGCTTCATTTTCTACTTATTCACTTTCATTATTATTATTCACTGTTTATCCTTTCCTTTATAATTTTTAGTTACCTTTAAATCTTTCTGGTAAAGACAAGTAGAATATTTTTACTTAACCAGCACCATGGAGCCTAAAAATTTAGGCTAGTCATCTAAATAATTCAACACAGGTCCAGAGTTATTAATATCTGAATAAAAATATCCAGGGCATGACTTGGGGTTTCATCATGAGCAATGGAAACTGATTTTGATTAAAAAAGAAAGAAAGAAAGAAAGAAAAACACTTTAATGGCAGAATCAGAGGAAGAGGTGAACGATTAGATCCCCAGAAGGTGAGGTAACAGGGCCGCGCTAGTCCTTTCTAATGTGGGAATGAATAGGCAGTTCTTAGACTACTCACATCAGGAGGATTCTCCTCTAAACTTTTCCTAAATTGGCTGCGAGGAGTGAAACCATTGCTTTAGCTTGATTGCCAAGCTCGCTTTTGGAGGAGAGATGGGACCATCGTGGACAGTGCCAGGAGGAGCCCACAGAATGACAGACAGCTTGCGGCCCGAGTGGACAGCGGCAGTAGCCCGCGTCCACTGTACTCGGGGCGCCGAGCCCAGGATCTGATGCGTCGGTTCTTCCTCCCCCAGTGCTGCCGCCCGTGCTGGTACCCCGACATAGCGAGTACAACCCTCAGCTCAGCCTCCTGGCCAAGTTCCGCAGCGCCTCCCTGCACAGCGAGCCTCTCATGCCGCACAACGCTACCTACCCCGACTCCTTCCAGCAGCCTCCGTGCCCGGCCTTCCCGCCGTCCCCGTGCGCGGCCGGCTACCCCCACTCCCCGGGCAGCCCCTCCGAGCCGGAGAGCCCCTTCCAGCACTCAGGTCAGTGCCGGCCGCGGTCTTCTGGGATGCGATCCAACGCGCTTGTGTGGGCGGGGCCATCGTGAGCATCATTTGTCACTTGCAGTTCAAACCGCAGGCTCTAGGGGGCCCTTGGACCCCACCCTCTTGATCAGGACTCAATCCATTTTGGAGCAGCTACCAGTTTCTTTTTTTTCTTTAAAAAAAATTTTTATTGGGGTGTAACTGATTTACAGTGTTGGTTGATTTACAGTGTTGGTTAATTTCAAGTGTATAGCAAAGTGAATCTGTTACACATATACATATTCCATTCTTTTAGATTCTTTCCCCATATAGGTCATTATAGTGTATTGAGTTCCCTGTGCTATACAATAGGTCCTTATTAATTAGGTATTTTATATATAGTAGTGTGTATGTATGTATGTATGTATCAATCCCAGTCTTCCAGTTTATCCCTCCCCTCTCTACCCCCAGTAACCATAAGTTTTTTTTCATAAGTTTATTTTTTACATGTGTGACTCTATTTCTGTTCTATAGATGAGTTCCTTTGTAGCCTTTTTTTTAGATGCCACATAAGCAATATCATATGATATTTGTCTTTCTCTGACTTGCTTCAGTTGGTATGAGTAATCAGTTTCTTCTAGTAAAATAAGGAGTATCAGGAGCTGACAACCTCCTGCAGACATGCATGAATGCATCTGGTGCTAGCTGCTGCCATCCACCTCATTCAGGTCTTCCTATGCTCATTTATTTAACACATATTTATTGAGCTCTTATTATCTGCAAGCCTTGCCTGGGGTGCAGGAGCTCTGAGAAACTAGATGGATTTGAACATCATCCTTGGGAATTTCCAGGGATTTTTCCTTTTTAATTTAAGGAATTAGAAGTAAGATTATAAAATACTTCTCTAACATAACCGGGAAGACATGGCCTGAGGGCAGGCAGTGTAGGGGAATCAGTGGTAGGCCTCTTCTCTGGCTGTCTCTATCAGCAATCCAAGGGAGTCCTTTCCTTCAAAAGATGGGTCTAAGTCAGGTAACGAAGGAGAGATTTACATACCTTGTGAGAGTGAGATAAAGAATATCCCCAGCTCACAAGTTCCTAAGGGTGTTGTTATCTGGTTGCTCAGCTGTGTCTGACTCTTTGTGACCCCGTGGACTGTAGCCCACCAGGCTTCTCTGTCCATGGGATTTCCCAGGCAAGAGTCCTGGAGTGGGTTGCCATTTCCTTCTCCAAGGGACCGTCTCAACCCAGGGATTGAACCCATGTCTCGTGTACTGTCAGGCGGATTCTTCACCACTGAGCCACCTCGGAAGCCCTCTTAAGGGTGTGCACAAATGCATTTGGTGCATCTGCTGCGATCTCCCTCTCCTGTCTTCCCATAGTCATTTATTGGGTTGGCCAAAAAGTTTCTTGGGGTTTTTCTGTAACTTCTTAAGGAAAACATGAACTAACTTTTTGGCCAACCCATTATTTGACAGTTATTTGTCAAGCTCTTTTTGTGTGCAAGCATTGCCTTAGGGTTTGGAAAGGAGAATTAAAATGTTAATTGAAATTGTTCCTGTCCGTAGAAAACTTATAAAATGTGGGAGTTGTCCCACCTCTTCGCTTCTGAGTTATACCGTCGGTCATTCCTTTTGCCCTTCAACAGTACATCAGCTATTTTCCCTGTGCATCTATTGTCACGTCTATCACACTGTGTGTGTCATTTCCTGCCAGTCTGTTTCCACCACTCAGAGGTCAGCCGCCTTCTCTTTTGTGTGACCAGCACAAAGAATCCACCTGCAATGCAGGAGACCCCAGTTCGATTCCTGGGTCGGGAAGATCCCCCAGAGAAGGGGTAGGCTGCCCGCTCCAGTATTCAGAGGCTTCCCTGCTGGCTCAGCCTGTAAGGAATCCGCCTACACAGCTGAGCGACTGAACACCACCAGCAAAGGTTTGTGGTGGATTTCCTTCCAATTTGTGTCCTTGTAATAAGCTAGATAAATGTTGCTCAACTTTAAGGTTCATACAGACCATGTGGTGATCTCATATAAATGCAAATTTTATTCCCTGCAACTGAAGTGGCTTCTAAGAATCTGCATTCCTAAGAAGTTCCTGGATCGCTGCAGGGGCTGTGGGCCCAGGAACCACACCCAGAAGGGATTGTCTAAAGGACTTTACTATTCAGCATATCTCAGGGGGAGTTCTTTCATAAGTGAAGGTCCATTTGGAAACCAAATAATAACCCCCTGATTTATCTGTTTTGTAAGTTTACATTTTAGTGCTTATAAGAACACACTCTAAAAAAAAAAAAGAACACACTCTAGATACAAGAATTACTAGGATACGCAAAGAAAAGAAAGATACTATAATCAATAGAAAGGTAGAAAAAGAACGTGGTTTGCAAAGAAAGAACTCTGAAATTGAGTTTCTGAATTTACTGGCAACTTACTTTGAAAAATTTGGGGTGAAAACATAACATTCATCAATTTCCTAATGAATTAGACCTCTCCCTTTAAAGTATATTTATGCCATGAAATAATAATCCCATATATACACAAAGAAGAATGTGAGTCTATGTGGAATTTTTTTTTCTTTCTTAACAATTTTAAATCATATGCAGTATTTTTGCTTTGATTTTTTTATCATATCCAAACAATTATTTTTATCTTTAGTTCTCTGGAAAAGGATACTCTTTACTATAGGAATTCAGTTTGGCAGTAAAATGCTGTCTCAGCTGTGAGGGTGACATGACCTTCTAACTTCCTTTTAGCCTGTGTTTCCTTTGGATTAGGGGGATGAAGTTTGCACAGATCCACTCATACCAATGTTGCCTGGCCCCTCAAAACTAATAAACTTATTTACAAAGATTCCAGCCTTGGGAGAGTCATCAGGACATCGGCCCCTGTTCCCAGGTACGTGGACCAGATGAGCAGCCTGCAAGCAGCTTCCGTGAAAGAGGCAATTTTGAAAACAACGCATAGCATTGCGCTGGTTCTCACATCCAGCCTTTGGGGAACAGTGGTCACCTCGGTTTCCTGGTGGAGTCGTGAGCTGGGAGGTCCCGGGCGTGGTGGTAGTGATGTCCTGTCTGATGCACTTCTGTTTCAGATTTTCGGCCAGTTTGCTACGAGGAGCCGCAGCACTGGTGCTCCGTCGCCTACTACGAACTGAACAACCGCGTCGGGGAGACATTCCAGGCTTCCTCCAGAAGTGTGCTGATCGATGGATTCACAGACCCTTCAAATAACAGGAACAGATTCTGTCTCGGACTTCTTTCTAACGTAAACAGAAACTCAACGATAGAAAATACCAGAAGACACATAGGAAAGGGTAAAGGCAAATGTGTAATCCACTTCATATCTTCTTCTGAACTAACACACAGGGCAATAGAAACGAGCCATGGGTTGGCTGCGTGGCCTAGTGGGATGGTCCCAGGGCTGGGAGCTGGGAGACTGTGCTGGGGATACTGTTGGGAAGAGTGTGAGAACTTTTGGGGTCTTTTGGTGCCTCCCCCTCTGAGGTAGGCACAGCATCTTCTGGGAGGTGGCGTAGGGTGGGTGTTAGGAAGATGAACAAGACGAGAAATACAAAGACAGGATGAAATGATTGAAGAGATGTAGCATGAGTTGTTTTTGAGTAGCCTAAAATGCTAAATAGGATGACTTCTGAAGAAGAGGAATCGGTATCAGGTAAAGTTACTTTTAGAGACAGAGAAGGGAGCTCTTTAGAAAATCAGTGACTTGTCTGTCTGGAAGCCTTTGATAGGGGGTTGGGGTTTTCTCGTGTCCAGGCACTTCTACAAGAGCGGAAGAAGCACAGGCCTCACTTGGGCCTGGAAATGAGGCCTTTGGAACCCACCTCATTGGTGTGATTGCCTCAGCCTAGCCTGAGACCTGGTTGAGGATCTTTAAGTTATCTTTCTTTCTTTATTTTTGACTGTGCTGCGTCTTCGTTGCTGTGCGCGCTTTTCTCTGGTTGTGGCGATCAGGGGCTACTCTCTAGTTTCGGTCCACGGGCTTCTCGTTGCCGGCGATTCTCTGGTTGTGGAGCACGGGCTCTAGGGCGCGAGGGCTTCAGTAGTTGAGGCTCCCGGGCTCCCGAGCACAGGCTCAGTAGTTGTGGCCCACGGGCTTAGTTGCTCCTCGGCATGTGGGATCTTCCCAGACTGAGGATGGAACCTGTGCCTCCTGCATTGTCAGGAAGGAAGGCACCAGGGAAGCCCTCATATTTTCTTTTCTATCCAAAGAGTTGGCAGTCTGAATGATGCATGGTTGTCCCCTGAAATCACAGGTGTAAAGAAGCTTTGGGGTCATTTGATCTTTTCTCTCCCCGTCCGGAACTTACACCACTTTGGGAAGTAGCCACAAGCCTTTTCTTTTAAGTTTCCAGGGAAGAACCATTATTTCATGTGTGATGCAATCTGTGTTTTTCCTAACCATCTCCCAAATGTCTCCTGTTGTCAACCTACAGACCATCGATTAGACGCAGGCTGAATTTGTTCAGCGATGTTAACCCTTAATGGTGATAGTTACTTTATTTTATCCTGTATCTTCCCATAGTGGCTCTGTGGTGGCTTATGAGAAGCCTTTGTAGAGAAATGATAAATGAAAAAGAGAAAGTCAAAAGCTGGCGGTGAGTCAGGGAGACGAGTACAAATATGTCATCCCTCAGAATTAGCACTGTGATTATGACTGTGGTTAAAATTTTCCCCTAGGCTCCCAGAGAGTTCAGAAAACTGAAACTTAATCTGTAACTTCTATCCCAAGAGGGAAATATAGTCATTCCTCAAAGGAATTGATTACTTTTGACTTCTTAAATTTCTCAGGATGGTTTTACTTTGGAATGATTTTTATAAGGATCTTCAGGTGATCTAAAGATAGAATGTTAAAATGTGCTGCCATAGAGCCATTTGCTGCAGGGCTCTGCAGATTGGTCTGCAAGAGAGACTTCTACTTAAGCCACTTGATCTAAAAATAGAATTAAAATATGCAGAGAGTGTTGAATACCTTCTGGGAAGCTTTCTGAAAGCAGCTTATTCAAGGTGCTGCTGATGTGGACGGACAGATGTGGAGGGCCGGTGTCATGTTACTAACTGAGAGATAATCTACAGGGTTAAAAAAACATCAGAGCAAGATACAGAGAGACTAGGAAATGCTCACCTGGATGGAAGGACATCCCACCCTCAACAGGGTGCCCAAGGCAAAGGCGCAGTTTTCTCAGAAAGCTGCTTTGGAATTGCCTTAATGTGGAAAATAAAAAGGCGGGGGAGCTACAAGGCATGCCGTAAAGCATGGCATGGGATATTTCCAAAGCAAGAGTGATTGGTCTTCTTTGAGGTCAGGGGGACCTCTCTCAGGGGCTCCTCTGGCTTCCCTGGTTCTGAGCTGCATGGCTTCCTGGAGCACCAGCCTGAGCTAAGTTTGCAGCTAAACACACCCCAAGGTTAGGGAGCAAGTTAGCTTGTTAATTAACTAACTGACTAATTCCATAACTGCGGAGTTAGTTACGGGAGATGCTCAAACTTCAGAGATATGCATTCATCTCACAAATATTCAATGAGCATCCGCTCTGGGCCAAACGATTCTGCCACTCGGGATATTGCAATGGGAAACAACTAAAACAAAAAACTCCTGGCTTCGTGGATTACCTACTACTAAAGAAAGACAAACAAGAAATTTTATACACACATACACATATGGGGGCTTCCCAGGAGGCACTAGTGGTAAAGAGCTCGCCACCCAGTGCTGGAGATGTAAGAAACATGGGTTCCATCCGTGGGTCAGGAAGATACCCTGGAGGAGGACGTGGCAACCCACTCCAGTATTCTTGCCTGGAGAATCCATGGACAGAGGAGTCTGGCTGGTTACAGTCCACAGGATCACAAACAGCTGGACACGACCTGAAGTGACTTAGCACACACGCATACACACACACACACACACACACACACAGACACACTAGGTCAAATGATAAGTATCTAGAGAAAAACAGGAGGGGAAGAGAATGGGGGAGCTAGGCAGGCAGGCTTCCTAAGGAAGTGACGTCTGAGTCGAGAGCTAAAGAGGGAATCAGCAGTGTGGATACCTTTCCAAGCAAAGGGAACAGCATGTGCAAGGGCCCTGGGACCTGCCTGGCACAGTGTGAGGAACAGCAGCAACGCCAAGGCAAGTGGAACAGAGTGAGCAAGGGGGCGAGGAAGTCATAGAGGAGGAGGAGACAGGAGCAGGTCTCATGGCCTGGGAGCCATGCAGAGTGCTTTAGCTCTGCCTGTGTGAGACAAGAAGGTGGAATTAAGTTGGAGTTTATAGATCTGAGTGTTCGCTTTAAAAGGATCCCCTGGCTGTTATATCAGGATGAGACTGTGGGGTTGGGGGGTAAGATACCTATAAAGATTCCTTTTGTTATAGTTGATAATGGGCCCTTTCTCCCCTCAGTAGTTATCAGTTGCTTTGAGGTCACTTCGGTTTGTGTTTGTTGCCACTTAGGGAAGATGGCGGTCCACTAAAGCAGATCCGTGCCTCCACCCCGTCAGCAGCGCATGTACTTTGAGCTTTTGTCTGTGGTGGTGATGGGTCACGTGCTGACTCGCCTGTGCTCTTTCAGCCTGCTCTCCATCTGATGCGATGCACCGTGAGGCAGAGGGCTTGGCACGAAGCCTTTCTCTGTAACCTTGCAGCAGTTAACACGTCTACTGCTTTGACCTCTCTGGCCAAGAGCTTTAAATAGCCTTTAGCAAGTTAGCACTAGAATCTCAGAGGTTGCACCTTCAGTATCAGAGGCAGGACCTCAATGAACCTGGAACACTGCCTTCTAACCTGAGGTCTATCCATACTCTTCCTTAAAAACGAGGCACACTGCCTGAAGTCTTCTGAATGATTCAGCTACCCCCACAGATTCCCAGATCTGAGAGGCACCCTGGCAGGGATTTACACATATTATTGCTTTATAGTCACTCTACAAGTTAGGATTTCTTAGTCCCATTTTACAGGTGAGGCACCAGAGGCTCAGAAGAGTTCAGAAGCTTATCCATGGTCCCACAAGTGATACGGATTTTGCACCCATGGCTCTGTCTATCAGGCCCAGTTGCTTCCTTCTGCTGGAGGGGAGGGACCCTCCTGCTTTTTCATCTCAGCACCCCTCTTAGTTCAGTGCTTGAGGAATTGAATCTTTTGATATGGAATGAAAATGATTGTCGTATGCCACAGCCACAATATGTCATGATCAACTCTGAGATGTTGAAATAAGGCCCTCATTTTGTACTGCAGTGATGAAATTTTACAATCATTTACTTTAAAAATGTGAATCAGAAAAGATTTTGTGTTTTCCCCCCAAGAATACTCTAGAAAAGCCGTCCCACACTGAGTTAACACTGAGCTTCACGGGAGGATTATTAGCATCTTTATAGGAAAAAAAGATGAAGAACTGCTGACGTATCACACCTGTCTGTGACTGCGCAAAATAAAGCCAAGGTTATTTCCCGAGGTTTGGGGAAGGATGGGATAGCCAGTTTGGGTCACTGGAGTGTACAGTGTGCCTGCTTTTTTAGAGTGGCTTTTAGGATGGCCCTGATTTCCAAATGATGAGGCAAGCCGCAGTCTTGAAAGGACTGCATGAGCAAACGTGTGCTCTTACAGTCATTGAGATCAGGTTATATTTCTTAGAAATGCACAACGTAATATCATCCTAGTCAATAGCAGTGTTCTTTCTGAGCACCTGTGACTGTGCTGTCACTGCAGTCAGCACCATTAACCCACATAGGGAGCCTGCTCCAAGTTCTTGGTGTGGAAGAACACTTGCGGCAGGACGGACACGTTTCTTCTTTGCAGCTGCAGACGAGCTGCGTGTGTCCTGGCTGCTGGCTGTCCTTCCTCCCGTGGGAGAAGGAAGGGGTAACCGATAATTCCTGAGGCATTAGCCCCACGTATTGAACTTACCGGGACTTGCCAGGTGGCACTAGTGGTAAACAACCCACCTGCTGATGCAGGAGACATAAGAGACGTGGGTTTGATCCCTGGGTCAGGAAGATCTGTGGAGAAGGACATGGCAACCCACTTCAGTATTCTTGCCTGGAGAATCCCATGGACAGAGGAGCCTGGTTGTCTACAGTCCATGGGGTTGAAAAGAGTCAGACACGGCTGAAGTGACCTAGCACACATACACACACACTGAATGAGGCAAACCCGGACCTTCCCACACATAATTATCATAGATTTCAAATCATCGAATTACTTTGGGAATTAGTTTTTCACTTTTTAATGAAACTTTATTTTCTTGTACATCTCAAGTTGTTCTGTGGAAATCTAGTAATGCTTCCCTTTTTCGTGAAAGGA